AAAACATTCTTTTCGGTTGAAACTTATAGAATATTCTAGAGATCATTAGATCTACCTACGAACAAAACTTCAGATCAAAATTTCGCTTTTTTGGTTTTGCACTAAATACCTAAAAAGGGAACAAAAATTCAGAGAACAGTCATAATTCGGCTTCAATGATCTATGGGAACGAAGCCTTTGGAAATCTTTCTAATCTCTCTCATATATTTCTGTGGGCCCAATGTAAGCTCGTGCACTGAGTTGCAATTGGGGTAATACTATCGGTAGAGAATCTGTTGAATTAAAGAATGAAGCCGCTAGCAACTCATTGTTATTAATGCTCTGAAAGGTGATAAGTTTTTTTCATATAACATAACAGCTATAGAAGCTGTGTAATAATGGTCAATTTTGTTTAATACAAACTTACATGAAAGGTGTTTCACCTGCAGCTCTTGGTTTAATTGGATCAGTTGGAGTTAATCGTTGTCGAGCATCTCGTACTGCCATAGCAGCACCATCACCAGAACGTGATAGTTGCGAAAGATTTGTCGAAGCACCAGATGTTTTTGCTTGTGTACCAGTACCGGTTGTTGCTGCAGTACGACGAATGCTTGAAAATCGTGTAATAATAGATCGAGAATTACGAAATAGACTTGTCATTGAGAATTTTGAAAACAACACAAAAAGAATCTACAATAAAGTAACAAATAAGCTATTTATGTTTCAATACCCATTTAATTGTGAAAGACAACATAAATTTTTTTTCTGAACACAAAATATTATCTGACTATAGAGAAGAAAAAGGAAATAGATCTAAAACAATCGATATATAGTAAACCGGCTGTTAATCTCTGAATATTTAACTATTGTTTTTTTTTCGAATTTAAAGTCTTTTTTGATTATTACTATTACTTAAACTAAACGTAGAAAATAATAATTGCATTAATTGACTATGACGATCTTGTGATGCTTCATCACGATCATTAATACGATGTCGAAGACGACGTAATTCATTGCTAATCATTTCAAATAAATTACGAATCAAATTTTCATTTCCTATTTGACTTTGATCGGCTATTGCAGGTGTCATTGAGCATGAGTTTATTTCTAAACTATTTGACGGACATCCTGTTGATAATGATTGTTCATCAAGCATTGTCTTTAATGCAAAAACCGAAAAAATTTTTTATGAAACAAATTATTATTTTCTTACCTGTACACCCATATGAACAACTCGATTAGATGATAATGATTTCATCCGTTCTTGTCGAAGAAGAATTGAATAATCAATTTTAATTTGTATACCATATGAGTCTTTTAATATTTCTAAAATTTTTATCCATATATAATTTGATTCGGCTGTTTTCCAAAATGTAGCTAATTCATCGTGTGTCATTGTCTCGTTTGTTAAACGGACTCGTATACCAAGCCATGGAAGTGTACGAACAGACTCTGGACATGGACATATATCAGAAAACATTACTGTACTTTCATTACCAAAGTCAACAAAAAATACAGTTGCTTGTTGACGCTGTAAACAAATGGATTTAACCCATGCACGATACCATTTGCCATCGTCAGCATAACGAGCCACCACAAGACTAATGAAAGAAAATACAAAGAGAATCGGATGAATCAATTGAAACTAATTAATATACGTTTTAATGCGTGGTATTTCACATGTATAACGATCTGAAATGTTAGTTTCTTGTAATTGATTCATAGCTCGATCAATAGCAATTGTATTTTCATTAACAAGTAATACATAAAATGAATCATCTTTACCACTAAATGAACTAAGTAATGCTTTTAATTCATCACCAACAGTTAATGGAAGTTCATGTCGAAATTGCTCAATTGATTCTTCTTCTGGTGTCATTAATGTCTGAAAGATAAAGAGATTATAATAACAACTTCTTAATAATATCTCAATTATAAATATGCTCTGTATTTGATAGTCTTTCAATTGAGATCGAGAGAATCGATCTTTGTCCAAAGAGAAAACTAGGATTTTATGCAAGCATACTTTTTACCTTTTTATTTTAGCAACAAACTAGAGTTAATTTAAATAGATTTTCTTTAGAGAGTTTTGATTCTAAGTGTTCAAGTTTAAAGTTAACTATCGTCATTTGTCTTTGATCTGATAAGATTTTCTTTTTTGAATTTTCGATGAATTTTTTCCAACTGTGAGATATAATTACTTTTGTGTTTATAATTACAAATCTACTAGAAATTCATTTGTAAAAATAACTTACATTTGGTACAAGTAACTGTCTTATATGATCATTAATAATTCTTCCATTAACCGATACAAGAACTTTACCTCCAGTTGTACTATCATAACCATTAACAGTAACGTCATACTCTTTTTCACTTAATAAAGCAATACATTGAGTAATAACATCAGATGGAATTAAATCATTTGCATCGGGTACACCATCAAGATGACACATTATAGAACAAGCTGGTTCAGCATAAAATTCATTTGGTAAACGACGAATATATTCTGGTCCAATTTGCATTGGAATCGTCATACCCCAATCCAAATAAATAACTGTAGCCGTTGAAAAATCTGGTGATATTTGTAATATACGACAACGAAACCAACGACCCTCATGGTAACATGCACATAAACGATTGACTTGAGCTCTAATAAACAATTCACTTAAAACTGTTTGACAAAAGTACAGAGACACAAATTATACTTAAAAGGATGACTTGGTGCATGGTCAACTTGAAGTTCAGGATGTGCTGCCATATCACGAAGAAGACGACAAGCTGTATTAAAATCTTCATGTAACATAAGCTAAAGGAATTTTTAATTCAGTTTTTCTCTTCTTTTTGAAGAAGAAAAAGAACAGAATCCCAAACTTACATGAACTATAGATGGACTTTGTGGATGAGAAATATGTACTTTATGTAATTGTTGTCCACGTTCTAATGCTTTATGTTGTGGTATATCCATTAATACTGGTGCAGATTTAATTGTCGATTGTTTTTGAAGAACATTTTGCATAGAATTAATTGGTTGAAAAGCTAATGACGATGATGATGTTATTTGTTGTTGCTGTTGTTGTTCGTTTGTTTTAAATGCTGAATTATTATGGAGATTACTATAACTATTACTAGTTGCTTTTTTTATTGATGAATTCGATGAGAAAAAAGCTGAAATAGATCGTGTTGGACCAGCTGGTGCAACAATTGCTGTTGGACGTGTAGAAATATCAACAGGAGGAATTGTGGTTAATAAAGCTGGTGGAGTTGATTGTTCATTTATTTCAGTTATTTGTTGAGTTTCTTTAAAAAAATAAGCAATAAAGATAATTTAGTTTTTATGCAGAAGAATAAACTTACCAACATGATTATGACGAATAAAATCATCAGAATCTACATGACCAACATCAGGCTTAGGAAACCATTGCCGTGATTCTTTATCTTGAAGATTATTTTCATTTTGTTTTTGTTCATTTAAACTATTATCATGATTATCATTATTTGTTGTATTTAACTGTGGTAAGTCAGCTTTTTGTTTACTTATATTTAAATTTGTTTTTATCTTTTTTCGACGTGTTACTGATGGACGAAGATTACGAATAGCTAATTCAAAATCCCTATCAATTCCTATTGATGAATAAATAGATGATGGTTTTATATCATGATTATTATCTTCTTTGTCATCCGAATTTGAATTTGAAAGAGATAAATTATCATCGTCGTCATCTTGAATATGATGATTATGTGTATAATGACGACCAATACGAATACCACCACGAAAGCCAACAGATGGATGTTGCATATTCACCTAAAACTAGATATAGTTTTTTTTTATTGCGTTTCGATTTTAAATAAGAATATTTGTACGTAAATATGTTTATGAAAAAACAAACAGACAAGTGATTAGAACATTTTAGTCATAGATGTTAGAAATTACAAAAAATTAATTTTAATATCAATTTTTAGAAGATTATCTTTGCAAGAATTATTTGGAAGTAAAGTATAATGATCGTTGAATATCAAAAAATTTCGATTTTCTTTATTTTATCGATCAACATTATCTACAATATTTATTGTTCGATCTACTTAGCATAGATCACTTTTCATGAGTAAACTTAGCCACTAAACCTCTCGAAAGTGGATATTTTCAAAAAAAAAAGATAGATTTTGAAACAAATATTATACAAATACTCACCGACAACTCATTCAAGGCTACGCTTTGTGTTTTCAACTGAAAAAATAACTTTTTTGTGAATACGGACACATATAATTAGTTCGAGTTTTTCTTGTAGGAGTTGTTTTACAATAAAATATCAAGGTAGTTAAAGGTAACTTTTTGGTACGCATACAAACTGTGGACTACACAGTTTTACTTGTAAAACATAAGGATAACTAGCTTCATATTTATTTGTAAAGTATCTTGAATAATTATAAATCAAAATAATTCCGAGTCTTCGTATCCAAAAAAAGGCTATTTTCCAGTTGAAAATAAAAAGCGCAACCTAGAGTAAGTATCTGTGGATATTTATATGATATTTCTTTCGAGTTCTATCATTTTCTTGCAGCTGTGACAGTGTCTATAGATGTTCGCAACTTTTATAGGTATCCCTTGAATATGAAAATTTCTATGTAAGTTTTTTTGTATACGTTAATCGATATATTCCAGTTATTTAGAATAATCATAAGAGGAACGGTCGCCTTCTCCAACAACAAAAACATATTACTCAATTCAGCTAGAATCACTATATCATAACTAAATAGAAGGAAATTTTTTTAGATTAACTTTTTTGTAACTTAAAGTTAATGAGTGGTGAAAATTTAAAGGTGAAGACTTTTCTAGTGATTATTCATCAAAAGATAAAAAAAACAACGAAGATTTTGTTGAAAAAACTTTATTTTTAAAATCACCATGAGTTTAATCTAAACAAGATGTATTCGGAAAGTGCATATATGCGAAATTTTAAATATATAAGATTGCTTCTCTTGTTATCAATATTCTAAAGAATAAATCGATTGAACTGTTAAAATCACTCAGTTGTTGATTTGATATTGTTCAATACATTTCGAACATCTTGAAATACCTAAAATTTCAATAAATTTGTTTTTGTTTAATACGAAAAAAAATTTAATAGATTGCACTTTATCAACATGGTTTGAAGCATCAATTCGTTTAACTAAATTATCTTTCTCAAACAGTTGAATAATTGGTCGAGTTGATTCATTATAAGTAAGAATTCTGAGAATTAAAAACAAAATTTAACATCTCGAAATAGTCAAAATTTTATTGAAATTTTTTTTACCGTTTTTTTAAACTTTGTTCATTATCATCAGTTCGTCCACTTGCTTTTCCGCGTGCAAGACATCGAGCAACACATGTCTTTTTTAAAAATGTAATGCAATAAGATCATAAAATAAAATATAATTCACTTGTTCATCACAATCAAAGAATAGTACACATTGAATATTAACTTTTCCATCCATCAATGTTATCTTTATTTCGTGGAAAACCATCAATTAAAAAGTTTTCTTTTCCACTATTTTTCATAGCCTTTATGTAGAACAAAAAAAAGATAGAAGCATTAATGAATTAAATCAAAATAAAGATATACATTTTCAAGTAACTTGCAAGTGATTGCAACAGGTACTATTGAACCATTTTTAATGTGTTCATTTATTTCTTTACCTAATGTTGAATCAGGTTTAGCTGCTTCTTCTCGTAGAAGCTCACCAGCTGATAAATGAACATAATCATAAGTCTATAAACAGCAAAACAGATTAAATTTTGGATTTTTCATGAAATCGTGAAAAACCAAAAGAGTTAACCTCGGCGATGCGAGCACATTGTGTACCTTTGCCTGAATAGAACAATATGAAACACATACAAAAGGAACATATCTATAATAAATACATACCAGCTCCTGGTCCACCTAATACAAATATCACATTCGGCTTGATTGCTGCCATTATATATATCTATAAAAAGAAAAAGATTATTGACAAAAAAAAAAATTTTTTTTCAAGCTCTTCTTTTATATCTGTATTTATTATAATTGTATCGTATTACCAATACTATTTATTCATTGCTGTTTAAAATAAAACATGATTGTTTTTTTTTGTTGTCATTATCTGTGTAAGCATTGATGGTTTGATGAGGATGAACAACCAATGTCCAATTTTTATTTTATTATCACTTTCATTCGAAACGATTAGACTAATTGAACAATGTTTATCTTTTACAAAAGAAGAATATCTATGGATGCTGAATATTTTTATAAATTTTTTCACTGATCGAAATGAAGATGCTATTATTACTCAAATATTAAATGATGAAATTTTTCTCTGCATAAAGGAAAAATAAACATTGTATCTATGTAAGTTTAACAAATGATATAACCTGCCGCTCGTTAAACACCATCAGATGAGATCAGACTAATGTGAATAGAAGAATCTAAACCATATTTATCTTCTTTTTACCATACTGTGTGTTGATACGTCAAATAAAAAGACAAGTTTTATCAGCTGCAGCTCATTCAGCTATAATAAATAGTATGATTTAAGAATGATAAAATAAAAATCTAATATATCTAATGAGTATTCAACGGATGAGAAAGATCTTAAATACGCAGAAGAAAAAGCAATCGTATTTACACTAGATGTCTGACCATGAAGTCTATCAGGAAATAAAACGTCTAATTAAAAATAATTTTTCAAGCTCATTTATAATGAATAAAAATGATAAGAGAATTTTTTAATAGATAAAAATAGAAAAAAAAAGAGCAAACAAACAATCATGATGTGTTCAGGACTAAACACTATTCAGTGAATACTATAACTATCGAGTGGAGCATATGCTTGAAACGAAAACACCAATTGATGTCAACTTAAATCTCAGAAGCAAATTCGCTGGATGATGGCGCCCTCTAACATTCATTAACTGGGTATTTTATTAAAATAAAAACATTTAACTATTATGTTGTATCTATTGTCTGCTTCACTAATAGATATCATTCGAAATTTATTTATAATGCATGTATGTGTTGTAGTAAAAGTTAAAACTCAATTCCTTTTTAAATTATTAAATTAACCTAGTCGAAATTGAAATCTTAATTCTGTCTAGACGAAATTTAACTATCTTTTTTAATCAACAGAAAAAAAGTAAAATCTTGATAACAAAGAGTGTGGATTTGCACTAGGAATGCAAAAAATCTAGAATATATTTGAGATTAAGGATCAAGGGTCTTGAATTGTATTTGTGATTTTTATTTGAAGTATAAGTTTGGGCCTGTTTGTGGACCAAATTCACATAAACAATTTGCATTATGGCGACCATGATCAAAACGCAAATTATTTATATTATTTTTTTGTCCAAAGAGCTAATCCAAATACTAAGAATTTCATTGCAAATCACAAAATCTTTTTTTTTTGTTGTACCACTTCGCTAGTAAAATAGATTATTGTTAATATTATCTTACGTTAGCAAATTCTTTAAGATGTCATTTATTTGAAACCAAATCCAAAATCAAATCGAATTCAAATCTTATCTCAAAGCCAAATTAAATAATACCAACCTCTATGAATTTGTGTTTGCTGCACTCCTAGTCTGGAAAGTCTCGGTGTGAATGTGAATGTGTGGACCTAAAGGATCTGAGTGTAAATGTAGATATGGACGTGAGTCGTATCTGGCGCGTAGGTGTTTGAATTTGAGCATGGATATGAATGAGTGCGACAGACTTATTATGCCCATATTCACACCCTCATATGATATTGGTTAAGAAACTTTAATTTTGACTGAGATTGTATAGGGCGAAATTGAAATTTCAATTCAGTCTAGGGAAATTTTAAATCTGGCTGGTTTTTAATTTTGGCCACGACATATATATGAAGAAGATTATGTATGTATTTAGATATGCTAAAATATCTACAAGCAATAAGATGGACTTTAATAGACAACGGAATAGGTTGGTAAAAACAGTATGTTCCATATTAATATTATACTTTCACGCTGTTTAATATATCAATCTTTTGATTGGAATTCACAACGATTTTGTTCGTCTCATAAATTTCTATATAAGTTCAAAGATAGTGATACTTGAACTCAAGTAACATGGATCAGAAAATACACGCAACACAATAAAAGAAATAATTGTATTTAATTACTTGGTTTTTATCCTAAAATTTTTTTTGTATCGAACATTTTAATTCTACATGTTCTTCCTCTAGAAGCTCAACAAATCAATTTCGTGTAAACAATCATTTGTAAAGGATACTCTTCCAAGTCTAATTAATATCATTGATAGTTTATTCCACACATACTCTATTCAAATAATAAAAAAAGCATTTGAAGTGTTTCACGAAAAAAAAAAATCTAATACATGAAAAAAGAATTAATAACAATAAAGAAAAGAACGTTTATTGATGGTATTCCATTGACGATGTAGTTGTACTAGGAGTAAATTGATGAAATTTTCTTTTTTCATATTCATATCTCATCGGATTATTAAGAATATCATTACGAGAAAACTCATCAAGACCACCATGATTAAAATATTCATCTTCATCATCTTCATCCATATTGGCTATTTGTAAACCTTTATACCATGGTGCTCTTGCATATTTAAGTGCTTCAGTGTGTGCCTGTCGAGCACGATAACGAATTGCTGATGATGGGTGATTCAGATATATTGCTGCTTGATCAAGTTGATTTATTGATGAACTTTTTTCATCACCTAGTTCCATAACAGATTTCAATTTTGGATAATCTAAAACAGGAATAGCAAATATTTGAAAAGAACTTTAAAAAATCATCGATTTAATTTATTGTACTTGAAAGAAGAAATTCTGAATCATTATTCATCATATGAAGTAATAAACGTTGTCGTTGTTCAATTGTACGCCATGCTCGATTTGTACTTACATAACGGTTAAGACTTTCTTGTGCACGTGTATGAAGTGCAAGAAATTCTTCATCAGACATTGGTCTTGGCTAAACAAAACTAAATATTTAAGACGAAATGTTTTTTGTCTAATAAACAATTACTGCTCGTTCACTCCTCCATTTCTCAATTTGTTCTAGTAATTCTTCACGTTTAGCTTCCGTTAGAATTGTTGGTTTAATATATTCCAATCGTTTTTGACGTCGATCAAGTTCAGCTTGTTTTCTTTGACGATAACGACGAAATGCACGTTGAATACGACGTACAGCACGATCAGCAATAAGACGATCATGACCACCATTAGCTAGAGCACGTCGTTGTAAATAACCACGAAAAACTGCTTGAATTTTTGTTGCACTACGTAAACGCTGAATTTCAAGATATTTGTCTACTTCAGCTAAATAATAAATCATTTTAAAATAGAAACTTTCATTTCTTCGAAATTTATTTACATGCAGGTAACAACTGAATAGTTTGTACTTGTTGAAGTTTAAATTGTCGTAAACGTCGATAATGTTCACGTGTTGCTTGATATTGAACTTCAGCTCGTCGACGTTGTTCTTCTTTCATTTGAATTTCTTTCATTTTTCTCTTTCTTGAAAATAAAATAGACTCTAATTAAAAATATCAAACACAAGAAGAATAAAAAAAGACCGAACCTAAAACTATTTTGAAACTGTTTCATGGCTTGATTGGCTTTCGTCAATCGCTTTCTACTTGAATAACCTCGCCATAATGCTTGAATTCTACTTGCAGCATAATTTTCCCTCTAAAAGTAATCATTAAAATCAAAAAGAAAGAAACCAATGAATAATCATACTTGATATTCACGTGAATAAGGTCCACCTTTCGTGCCACGATTTATAATGGCAAGTAAATCGTGTAAATCCATTCCAAAGCCTTGACCATGCCATCGTTGTAAAATTGTCGGCAAACCCCTAACAATAAAATCGCCAATGTACTTAGCAAGTGAAGTTTTGAACAATGATTAATACATACTTGAATTTATCGGCTAATAGAAAAACAATTCCAGAATCAGCTTCACATACAGCAATTAAAGCACGTACAGCTGCTCTAAAAAAATATTTAATATCTAGTTACATACAGTAAAACATCTTTTGAATAAACGTCGTCGAGCCTTTTGAAAAGTATTCTATATAGGGAAGCTTCATCTGTGAGAGATCTGATATATGTTATTGCGAAATGAATTAGAAGGTTTCAGAATATAAGCTTCTTTACTAATTTTAAAGTAATTAGAAACCATTCTCTGTGTTGTTTATGTCCTTTCATTTGAATATTTATGAATCAAAAAAAAAATTCAACAGGACACAAAACTTTATTTTGTTTCACAAAGTCTTGTATTATTGCTTTGGTCTCGATACATGTGAATTTGATGAATATTGTTGTATAACTCATCTCAATCTATATTTATCAAGTTTTATAACGTGAAAGCTATTGAGTTTTCAATTAATACTTTGATGTTGGTTTGTGTGCTAACTGTTTAAATATTCATCTTTTCGCTTTTAAATAATTCGATACAGAATCAAGTGGGATATTCGATTTTTCAGATAAATTCACATTGGATGAATCATCACCACCCTTGTTATCATTAGTTAATTGAACTTTTTCATCTAATTGAAGATGATGCTGTGATGTCATTACTTTTCTGGATATGTACAGATATAAAAAATAATGAGCAGTAGTTTTAGTACTTTAACCAGAAATGATGAAGAGTAGAAGAAAAAGAAATATGTGCATGCGTTCATTTAGAAAGGTTAAAATAGCAAGGAAGAATCAGAGGTCTCAATGTGTCAGACCAGACCGGAGAAAGTTAGTTTCTTGGTTAGTGACCCTTGACTCAGTTCAGCTCATGGACCATTCATTTTACTGCATTGGATGAATTTTTAGCACATCTAATGAGCAAGCATATTTCGAGTGCGAATAATTGACGTATAGACAATTCTTCGCGAATATATTTGACAACTTGTAATACCTTCAATTTCCCCGAATTTATAGGTAACATTTTATTGTTTTAGTTGAAAAACTAAAAACTTTTCAACATAAAAATGTATTTGTTTTTATATTTTTGATAACAATCCATGTCAACACTTCACCAGGAATATAATTAGAATTAGAAAAATTAATTGATGATCATGTTTCAATTGTTGATGAACAAGAAAGGATAAGCAAGGACATTTCCTTGAATATAAACAAATTTTTTTAAGTTGACGCCAATTTTATTGTTTTCTTTCTTTTGATTCATACACTTTCTGTTCATTATAGACTTGTTTTACTTAATGAAAGAGTTGCATGGGGTTTCCCAAAAAAAAAAATTAAGAGAAACCCGTAACATTTTTTGAAAACTCTATATTGTTTTAAGATTCGGTCCATGGGTACCCATCGCAGTATCAACTTAGCCTGGCCTAGCTCATAGTTTTTTATTCAAAAAGAAATTATGGCCATTGATTGGGCTGAACCAAGCCCATTGAGACTTCAGATCAAGACTTTAGCAACAATGTTCAAGTTCAGAGTACGGACATGTTTATATATAGGAGACACATTTTCAGCAATCGCTTCAAGGGATTGAGAACCTGTTTAAATGGGAGTTGTTCACTAAATAGAAGTTCCACTATAGATAGTGAATCAGTTTTTGCTTATTTAAAACACAATCAGTGTTAATTATACTAAGGTTTCAAATGAATCTAAAACTTTCTACCTTTAAATTTAAATAGATTTCAAAATCTGAATCTGTTAAAATCGATTTGATTTTCATGTTAATAATGAACTTACTTCCCAATATCATTATTATCAAATACAGTTAATTTATAGGCAAGTTCATTGACATAATCTTGCTTTAATTTATTTGATAGCTCATAAAATACACTTGGACCTGTCAAACGTCTATAAAAATAGAACAAGACTATTTTGCTTTTATTAAAAATAAAATTTAAGATTATACCTGCTCTTGCGAATAATATCTTCAAAAATATTAATCATTAAATGACAAATATAAACATCATCTGTAAGAAATAATTCCATAAATTTGGGCGAAACCAAAACTGAAATATTAATTACATTTTATCTTATTTAAATAGTAAAAATTAAATTAAAAATATTCACCTTGTTTAATAAGTGAATATTGATTCGAATGAAAAGTTAACACTTCAAGAAGATTATTCATAACTGTATTCATATAACTCTTATAATCTTGTCGAATAAGAGACTAACAAATCATTAATAATTATTTATCAGATAAATACAATCGAAAATACAGAACAACGACTCTACCTTTTTCTCTTGTGTATATCGATCTTGTATATGTCGAGTAAGGAATAGAAAACTATCAATACCTTGTGGAAGATATTGATCAAAAAATTTACTTGACCATACTTTTGTTTTAGCATTATTTTTATCTACTTCGACACACAGACATGAACTAAATAAAACCATACATGATTGAATAAATAAAATTTTAATTCTTTCTTTTTTTTTTTACCAAGCCAATTTACTCAGACTAATTGAAGCTAAACGCCATCCATTTGATATTGTTGTAAAATCTTGTCGAAGTGTTAATAATAAAATAGGTAATATATCAAGTGAAATTATTTCATATTTAACACTTGTAACTGATGTTGATCGTTGTAAAAGATCTATTAGTGTTTATCAAATAATTAAAAAGAAATTCATTTTTAATAAACAACAAAAACCTACTATCAAGTTGCAAAAATTTTTCAGGTAATTCCCCTGGTTTCGTTCGACTTAATTCTTTAGCAAATACGACTAAATTTGAATTCATTTTTCTTCTGTATCTAAAAGCAAAAAACTTATCGTTTTTTGTTATATGAATACATTTTGAGTTTATTTTTTGATAACATACATAATATAATACAAAAATAACCTAATTATATGTTAGCATTATATTTTCTAACATATTCTACAAATTCTAATTAAAACGACGAAATATCTGACTAAATCTCAGAAAATAAAAAAAATCAAACAAAAATGTTTGAATATATGTCACTGTATAGCCTGAGATCGATAAAAAGAAATGATCTTATTTATAAATTGTTAACAAGTGTATGAATAACAAAAAAAAGAAAAAGTTATGAAACAGATGGTATGTCGTGTAGATGATGATCATTATGAAAACCAAATGATTCTGCATGATGGACAGGTTGACTCCATGTCGTTGATTCAATATGAGTTGCTCTTGGTGGAGAAGGACTTGGTGAAGAACGCGCACTTGTCTAAAGAAATTCGATTATTGTTTTTTTTTTGTTAAAGATAAAAGTTTTGCGAAAAAAAAAATGTTACTTCAATTGAAATGTTGCTATCAAATCGAACACTATTTATTTCTCGACGAAGTTGATTTCTTTCACGTAGTGTACGATCAACACGTTCATTTAAATTTTCCATTTGATCTTCGAGTAATTGTATTTTCGATGTTAATAGAAGATTTTCACGACGCATTTCACGTACTTTGGCATCTTTATCAACCATACTATCGAATACATAATAGAAATAGTTTTTAATCAAACTAATAACAAAAAACCAAGCAGAAGTGTTTTAATGAGTAAAGTGATTTCGAAACGAAAAGATATTGTTTTCTTTAGTACCTTGGGTAGAGTATTAAGAGAAAAAAAAAAGAAGTTTTAAGTGGTTGTAATTTAAAGCAAAGAGAAGAAAGCTACCAGAATAAAAAAGCGTTGTAGCAACAATATATAAATGCAAGCATTAATTGTATATGTGAGGAGAATAACTACAAACGTGTCAAAAATAAAGTGCATAGAAGACTTGCCTATAAAAAGTGATATTACTAATAAGATGTGGATGCGTGTGAAGTTCATCAACAGTAGCAACAGTAGAAAAAGTACTATGAGCAGAAACGTCAATATCCGATTTTGGTGGATTGTACCTTGTAAGTAACTGTCTTCGTTCATCAATTAGTTGTTGATATGCAGATTCTTGATTTAGTTTTAATTCTGCATCTTTTTCAAGTAATTGTCGTGTTTCATGTAGATCTTTTTGAACATTTTTAAGATGTTCAAAATATTTATTTTTAGTACGTTCAAATATTTCTCTAAAACAAAAAGAAAAAAATTATACAATAATAAAACAAATTTATTAGAATTAATTCAAAATACAATAGAAAATACGAACCGTTCTTCTTGTAAACGTTGTTTATATTTTTCTTTCGTTAATTCATAATTTTTTTGTAATTGTTCAACTTTTTGTTGATATGTTCGACATTTTAATTGCCAATGTTGGTTTTCAGATTTTTCTTTTAAATAGAGTTGAACAGCAGCTGTTGATTCTTTTTCATTTGGCTAATATTAAATATGAAAAACAAAGTAATCATTAGAGACAAAAAACAAATAAATTACGCATACAGATTTCAAGGAATTAAATGTTTGAGTTGTAATATGTAAATTATAATCATTTTTAAATCGACATTCAACAAGTTCATGTTGTAATGTATTATTTTCTTCAATACGATTATAAAGTTCTTTACGTACATTAACATATTCATCTTTTAATCGTTTTAATTTCATTTCAAATCTTTGTCTAAATAAAAGAAGTTTTCTTAAGGAAATAAGTAGAAAAACTTTAAATCAGTACCGTTTAAGTTTTTCTTCTTCAATAGTATGCTGTAAAATTGTTACTTGATCAGATTTAGTAACTAATTCAGCTCTTAAGGAACTTAATTCACGTCTTGTTGGTTCTGTCGTTTCATTTAAATGAGTACGCATTGTTTCTTCAAAATGTTTATCTGTTTCATGAAAACGTCTTTCAAGTTCTTGACTTTTTTCTAATGATTCTTTAGCTACAGCACGAGATTTAAGTAATTCAACATTTAAATCTTGAACTGTTCGTTGTAATTCTGCTTTCTAGAAACAAAAAAAAAAAAATAATTAATCATTCGAGATTACTTCTTGAAATTTTTTTTAAAAAGAGAATCTTACACGTTTTTGTTCTTGAGATAAAGCTTGTTCTAATTCAGCTATTTTTGCGATTCGTCCTTTATTTTCTTGTGATAATTGATTATTAATATTAACATGTAATGTTGATCGTTCTGTTAAATCATTTTGCATTTGTTCCAAAAACTAAATATATAAAATTAAATACAACAGGATTAGACTTTAAATTTATCAATTTTACTTGATGTTTTTCTTTAAGTTCAGCTTGAAGTTTATCACAATTTGATCGATATGTTTCAATTTGATTTAAATATTGTTTATTATCATGTTGTAATTGAATGATTGTTTGATGGGCTTTTAACAAATCTCCATCATAATTTGTCTGAAAAGAAAATGATAATATATTGATTTCCTTATAAAAATGAAATTTATTTGAATACGTACAATCATTTGTTTTTGTTCATTATGGAAAATTTCAATTTGTTTATCACGTTCAGCTATATCTCGTTCATATTTTTGTTGTAAATCAGCAAGATTTGTATTTAATTGACGTAATTGGTTATATATTGTTTGTGTATCATTATTTGATGATGTTAAAGCTAATTTAAGATCACGATTAATTTCATCTTTTGATCTTATCTTTTTTTAATTAAATACAAAAACAAATTAGGAAAAATAAATAAGCACAAAGAATAATACCTCTTCTTTAAGAGCTTTATTTTCTTGTTGAATTTGTTCATATTCATTTTGAAGTAATGTTAATTTCGTATGAAGCTCATCATGTCGTTTAACAAGATTATCCATTTGTTGAACATAATCTAGTTCTTTCTGTCGATAATCATTTTGAAGTTTAAGAATTGTATCATAAAGAGCCTATAAATATTAGTCATAATTATATAATTGAAGTCTTTTGATATATGATATTTAAATATGATTTAATTATGAAATAGTTATTCGATTTTGTTCATGTGAATAAAGATTATTAAAATAAACTTTGGTTAAAATTAACAAGAAAAGGTTCACAACAAGTGAATCATCAATCGTGTAGAGATTTTGTTCGTGATTAGAATTCGATGAGAATGGTGAAAGACTAAAGGAGTTTATTATCATGCACTTTTCTTCTCGAGTTATAACCGTCTTACTGAATATTGTACCTAGGGTAAATTGTTCATGGAAAACCTTAATGATACTATTTTGATCTGCAATTTTGCTTACAAATATGTCTTTTAGTCATTAGAATGTTTTTTAAGTTTCAGCCAAAAAAATTATATTCTTCCTGAGAATGACACGTAGTTGAGCCTTCCGACAGTTGAGTCTAATATCAGGAAGAAATTACAGAAATTTAAAAAAATTAGTTTTATATAAATAAATTGACATTCAAATAAAACAATTTAACACAGTTCTCGGTTTACTCTCGATTCGTCCCTAAGTGCCCTCACCCGCAGTTGCCGTGTGTGTGATGTTTCTTTGAAATTAGAGACGAATTTTTCTAATCAGGGACGAATCGAGAGGATCCCCAGTTCTCGCTTTAGCGTGGATATAGGTGTATGAGTGTGGGTAGATGTGCATATATGACTTGTGTGGATGTGGATGAATAGAAGATCGACATCTACACTTACATTCCAGCAAGAACGTTGTTAAATTGTTTTATGTCAATGTGAATTTATTCACATAAACCTTTTTTTTTGTATTTCTTCAACTATCTTCTTATATCAGGCTCAAATTTCGACTGTCCAACTATTGGGAGGCTAACCTGTTGGTGTATTCTTCCTGAGATATTGAACGTTGAAGACAATCCATTTTTAGATCTTTTCATGTGCTACACGGTTTTTTTTTCTTTGAATAGTTAATATATGAAAAAGAAAACATTTTTTTTTTGACAAAACCCTTTGAAGCATTCTAATGACCATGAGACTTCCTATGTAGCCGATTGTTGCATTATCATGTAATTATTGCCATTATTTTCCATTATAATGCATTATAATGAAGAATAATGGCAATAATTACATGATAATGTAACAATCGGCTACATGGGTTGTCGGTAGAAAAATCTCAGATCGAATTGCTGTCATTCAAGTTTCTCACGATTACATTACTACAAGAAATAAAACTGAGTATGACGGTACTAATTTAGGAAGGACAGCACATGTCAACAACAGCTTCTTGGCTTTTATCAGTATGATGTGACTCCATATGTGGACAAAATATAAACTCAATAGGCAATTCAAACTTGGGACCTTCTCTAATAGGGAATAATTCCAAAGTGTTGATTTGTATTTAATCGTTGAAATTTTCAGAAAAGCACAAAAAAATGCTTTATAAAATAAAAGACACTTTGAACCTATAGTTTGTCAAATTTTTTAACAAAACTTCTCCATCAAGCATAATTCTGTAAGAACACTTATTTCGAGATTTTTTATGAGATTTTTAGCCTTTCAAAAATCCTTTCAACTTCTTGAATTGTTCTCAATAATAATCATTGAAAATAAAAGTCAACTTCTGTAGCTATTTGACCTTGAACCGAGTCTATGCTCAAATTTGAGAAAAGTGAATATTTTGTTAGAAAGTCTTATCATAAAATGATCATTGCCGTTTCTAAAAATTCTTTTCATATCATACACTATATTTTTGTTCTCTTTTTTCACTTTGTTCCTCCAATGCTGCAATAGTCTTCTCATAATCTTGTTTTTCTTTTTCCATTTGATGTTCCATATCAATTTTGATTCGTTCTAGACGAGCCAATTCCTATAATAAATTATATTATTTTTGCTGCAAAATAAAAAAATGAATTTTATTTACTTGAGGTAATTGTTGTTTATTTTCTACAACAGCTAATAGTTGTTTATAATGTTCATCTTTTTGAATTGATTCTTTTTTT